CCCATGGACTGTAGCCCACCAGGCTCCTCTGTCCGTGGGATTCTCCAGGCAAGAATACTGGAGTGGGTTGCCATTTCCTTCTCCAGGGGATCTTCCTGACCCAGGGATAAAACCCCTGTCTCCTGCATCGGCAGGCAGGTTCTTACTGAGCCAGCTGGGACGCCTCCCTAATGCAAGCAGCTCCTCGAAGACATAAAATATTGACAGATAACTAATGAGAACCTATTGTATGACACAGAGAACTCAACTCATTGCTCTGTGGTGACCTCAACGGGAAGGAAATCCAAAAATCTCCTTGCAGGAGGCCCTTTTGTCCTGTCACTCAGCAAAGCTATATTTCAATTTAACCTTTACATCAGGTGCCTCCAGCCTTAACTCATCTCTGTCTGAAGCACACCTTTCAAATCTTTTGATCACGTAATACCTTGCCTAACCTGTTAATTCCTTTCTTAGATTAAAGAAGCTAAAATGAAGAATAAGTAATTCAAGATGACCAGATCTCTTCCCCAGCTTCCCCTTCAGTCAGCTCACAAACTGACTGTGTGAACAAGAGAGCTTCTAAAGAAAGACTCCAAGGAATCAAGGAGCTTGCCTGCAGTGAGAGACGGCAACCAGCCTGGCTCCCATCTCATGATTAACTAAAATTACTTCTCCCTTTCCCTTTCATGGCCAAGCAGAATCTTAGGAGGTAGTTCTGGGACCCTGGTCCACCCTCTCCCAGGTTGCCGGCCTCCTGAATAAAGTAGCCTTTTGTTTTCCAACCAATCCCGGTCTCTCGAGTAGTGGCTTTTGAGAGGTGAGCAGTTGGACCTGAGTTTGGTAAGATGCATGTTAGTAGGGCTTCTCTGGTGGCTGAGACAGTAAAGAATCTGCCTGCAATGCAGGAGACCCAGGTTCAATCCCTGGATTGGGAAGATCCCCTGGAGAAGGGAATGGTTACCCACTCCAGTATTCTTGCTTGGAGAATTCCATGGATAGAAGAGGCTGGCAGGCTATAGTTCATGGGGTCAGAAAGAGTCAGACATGACTGAGCAATTAACACAACACAATAACACGCTACCAATCACAGATCCAGCGTGTCACCTTTGCTCCTGACCACTGAGCTACAAACTGGAGGTTCCCCTGACCCCCGCCTTGGGTTCAGTTATTTGCTAGAATAACTCACAGACTCAGAGAAACATGTTATCATTAATAACTAGATCACTGACTTATTATAAAAGGATTTTTAAAGGATATGAATCAAAAGGCAGATGAGAAGATGCACAGGGCAAATGATGGGGAAAGGATACAGAGGCTCAATGCCTTCTCCAGGGCCCTGTTCTCCCCAGGCACTACCTGATCACCAGCCCAGAAGTTCTCCAAACCCCGTCCTGTATGGTTTGTACGGAGGCTTCGTCACATAGACTTGTTTGATGAAATTAGGAAAAGGAAGCTTCACAAAGTTCATCCCTGAGTCAATATGGGCAACTGGGTCAGATTGTATTTTCCAAAAATAGCCCCAGAAATATTTCCAGTCCCACAGGCTCTTTTCAAACTTTGCCACACCCATAAAGAGGAGGATTCTATTTCCCCTCCCTTAGCATTGGGTAAGACTCTGCAGCCGCCTTGATGCATGAACGTGGTAGAACCGACACTAGAAATCCAAGGTCTGAGTCATTTTAAAAACTATGGGGTGAGAGGGGAGGACTTCCCTGATGGTCCAGTGGTTAAGAATCCGCCTGCCAATGCAGGAGACACGGGTTCAATCCCCGGTCCGGGAATATTCCACATGCTGCAGGGCATCTACACCTGCGTGCCTGTGCCCCACAACTACTGAGCCCAGGCTCCACAACAAGAGAAGCCGCTGCAGTGAGAAGCCTGTGCACTTCAGCGCTCACTCCAGTGTCTTGCTGGGAAAATCCCATGGATGGAGGAGCCTGGTGGGCTAGAGTCCACGGGGTTGCAAAGAATTGGACACAACTGAAGCGACGGAGCAGGCATGCGTAAAATATTGATCAGTAACTAACAAGAACCTACCGTATAGTATGGAGACCTCTACCCAATCTCTGTGGTGACCTAATGAGAATGAAATCTAAAAAAGCGGGGATGTGTGTATACATAGAGCTGATTCACTTTGCTGTGCAGTAGAAATTAACACAACATTGTGAAGCAACTATACGCCAAAAAAAATTTTTTTAATAGACAATACATAGAACTTATGGACTTTAGCCAAGACCGTCCAGGACTCTTAATAACTGTGAATTAGACACACCTCACTATGAATCACTTCTGCAGCTTGACTAATCTGCAAAGTAAACTTATCAGGAGAAGGACACACTTTCTCTTCTTCACAGTGGTATTTGCTGCCGCTGACTGCACATGTTCCCAAATAACCAGAGAACGTCCTCAAAGGGCCCAAAGCTGGGTTCACCTCAAGAGTCTCATCACTCACTGACTGTTGAAGTCACACTCAGAGGGGGATCAGACTGGGCTGGAGGAAATGTAGTCACAAAGGACGAATGCACGTTGCTGACTTGAAGAAGAAGAGAAGCCCTGGCTGACTGTCAGTTCCCGTCTCAAGTCCTCAGCCCACTGGTTCCGATCGTGGTCAGCAGCCTGGTCTAAGCAGAGGGCAGGGCTCCCTGAGTCGCTTGTCTGTCCAGCTTCCGCCACGCGGGATGAGACACCACGCAATGCCTTTTCCTCTTCCTGCTACATCTGACTTCACCCTCGGCAGCCTCAGCACACACTCTGCACTCACAGTCCCTGGAATCCCAGTGAGTCAGAGAGACGGAGCTCCGGGGACACCCCAACAGGCCCCTGTCCGTCAACGCATGAAGCATCTCTATGTCAGAAAAGACAAACGGCTTTGCTGCCCTGAAGCCTCTTCTCAAACGGCTGCAGGAGGATCACGGGCAGAGATGGGCTGACACGGAACAGGGTCTACAGGGACCACAGCCCGGCTCAGCCCAGCCCACTGCCCACAGCACTAAACGAATTTCAGGGCAGACACAGAGAACAGGCTTGTGGACAGAGCCGGGGCAGGAGAGTGTGGGATGAACATGGAAACATATACGTCACCATGTGTAAAGCAGATGGCCAGTGGGAAACTGCCGTGTGACACAGGAGGCTCAACCCGTGCTCTGTGACAACCTCGAGGGGTGGGATGGAGTTAGAGGTGGGAGGGAGGTCCGACAGGGAGGGGATACATGTCTCCCTATGGCTGATTCATGCTAACGTATGGCAGAAAGCAACACAATACTATAAGGCAATTAACCTCCAATGAAAAATAAATATTTTTAACAATCTTAAGAAAAAAGAGCTTCAGGTTGCACTGGTCACACACAGCCAATTTCCACAAGTGAATTTTGCTATCAAAAAAGAATTTGTTGTTTCCCAGGTTGCTCAATGGCTGCTGATTTTGAATTCTGAGATTTCATTTAAACTCCAAGTTAGGACACCTGTGCTTTATCAAACCTGTGCACAAGCATGTGTTTTTTTCTACGCAAAGCAGGCACTTGGTGTGAATATCGCCCTTCTGTGCAACAAGGATTCTTAACAGGTGCCTGGACCCCCCACTCCCCTGAGTTCCCATCAGCATGCAAGTCTGTGGGCCTGACAGTGTCCCTCCATGGATCTCCGTGCAGAAAGTTGCAGACAGACCTCTCTCAGCCGTGTATGCCTTTTTCTATCCAATTAAGAGAGACTAAAGCAGATTTAATGATGATGAAGCTGGAGCTCCAATACTTTGGCCACCTGATGGCCCTGATGCTGGGAAAGATTGAAGGCGAAAGGAGAAGCAGGCGGTAGAGGATGAGACGGTTGGATGGCATCACTGACTCAATGGACATGAGTTTGAGCAAGCTCTGGGAGATGGTGAAGGACAGGAAGCCTGGCATGCTGCAGTCCATGGGGTTGCAAAGAATCGGACTTGACTTGGCGACTGAACAACAGCAAGTACACTCACCTTCTATGGGCCCTGCAGAATGGAAGGAACTTCGATACCAAAGTACAATGTCGATCTTAAAAATGTTGTAGATACACATGGCAGACACCACTGCACCAGTCAAGATGAGAAGGCCTCCTATCAAGTAAGCTCGAAAATCTGGAGCTACAAATGACAGCAAAAATAAATAAATAATAATGCTACAAAGAGTCAATTATACACTTTACTTATATGGATCCCATTACATATGCCAAATAGAAATGTATTAAATGTTAATGAGAATAACACAAAGATTTCTTTACAGTTAAATAATAGGTTTTTGTTGTTGCTGTCACTCAGTCATGTCTGACTCTGCAACCCATGGGCTTGACTGTAGCCCACCAGGCTCCTCTGTCCATGGCATTTCCCAGGCAAGAACACTGGAGTGAGTTGCCATTTCCTCCTCCAGGGGATCTTCCCAAGCGAGGGATCAAGCCCACTTCTCCTGCATTGGCAGAAGGATTCTTTACCACTGAGCCTCCTGGGAAGCCCCAAAATCTCTTCACAGTTAAATAATAGGTGTGGGGAGTAGATTAACTTGGTCTTGGCCATGAACCTGAGGAAGAATTGTGCTCTTGGGAACTTGGAGAGGGAAACTCTGTAGACACCTAGCTCCAGATGATAGATGTCATATGGCTCTGACTGCAGAAGACTGCTCACCTGTCAAAGCACACCTGGCTTTTGGACTCTGTGGGAGAAGGCGAGGGGGGGATGTTTTGAGAGAACAGCATCGAAACATGTATATTATCTAGGGTGAAACAGATAACCAGCCCAGGTTAGATGCATGAGACAAGTGCTCGGGCCTGGTGCACTGGGAAGACCCAGAGGGATTGGGTAAAGAGGGAGGTGGGAAGGGGGGATCAGGATGGGGAATACATGTAAATCCATGGCTGATTCATGTCAATGTATGACAAAACCACTACAATATTGTAAAGTAATTAGCCTCCAACTAATAAAAATAAATGAAAAAAAAAAGCACACCTGGCCAGGTAACTCCTTACTCATCAGTAGACTCTCCAGAGGCAGAGCCTGAGCACATTTATTGACAACGTTCTCTGGGTGATTCTGTTGCACAATTTTTTTAAAAAAGAAAATGATTTTTTTTTAAATGTGAACTATCTTTAAAGTTGTTATTGAATTTGTTACAGTATTGCTTCTGCTTTATGTATTGGTTCTTTGGCTGCAAGGCAAGTGGGATTTTAGCTCCCTGACTGGGGTAGAACCCCCACCTCCTGTGTTGGAAGGTGAAGTCTTAACCACTGGACCACTCCGGACATTCCCTGTTGCACATTCTTGATTATTATTATTTTATTATTTTTTTCTTTCAGCTGCTATTGACAACCTTTACTTATTGTTTTTTAATTTAACTTTTTATTTTATATTGGAGCATAGTTGATGATTGGGCTTCCCAGGTGAAGAACAGGGAAACCAGGCATGCTGCCGTTCATGGGGTCAGAAAGGGTCAGACACCACTTAGCGGCTGAACCATAACAGGTGGCACTAGTGGGAAAGGATCTGCCTGCCAATGCAGGAGACACAGAGACACGGGTTCAATCCTGGGTGGGAAAAATGCCCTGGAACAGGAAATGGCAGCCCACTCTAGTAACCTTGCCTGGAAAACTCCATGGACAGAAAAGCCTGGTCATCTGCAGTCCGTGAGGCAGCAGAGAGTCAGACAGCACTGAGCACGTCTATCTACAGCTGATTAACAACGCTGTATTAGCTTCAGGCACACAGCAAAAGGATCCAGTTACACATACACATGTATCTATTCTTCTTCAAATTTTTTTCCCATTTAGGTTGCTACGTAATACTGAGCACATTCTTGATTCTGTTATATTACTGTTATAATCACCTTCCCAGTGACTCAGAATTGGACAGCAGGACCCCCATCACGGGGCTTCCCAGGTGGCACTAGTGGTAAAGAACTCGCCTGCAATGCAGGAGACATAAGGGATGCAGGTTCGATCCCTGGGTCGGGAAGATCCCCTGTAGAAGGAAATGGCAATCCACTCCAGTATTCTTGCCTGGAGAATCCCACGGACAGAGGAGCCTGGTCGGCTACGGTCCACAGAGTAGCACAGAGTCAGACATGACTGGAGTGATTTAGCATGCATGCACACGCCCCCATCGCAGATAAAAAGAACCACCAGTTGCCGCCCCTGGAAACCAACCCCATGGCGGACTGGCCGAGGGCCAAACTCCAGCCTCATCCCCTGTTGGCCAGCAGCAGCTGGGGCGGCACCTGTCTGCAAGACATCAGCTCAGGAAGGGCGTTTACACTTGTGAGCACCTTGCTGAGCAATTAAGGCAAAAAGCAATGGGCAGATGTCCAAGGAGCAGAACCAGTTTCTCTGGAACTCCAAGTCCCTGAAAACATGCTTCTACATATCTGAGAAGAGGAACAGCCCACAGCTTTCTGCCTTACCATGGCCCAAAGTTGTGCTGCCAAAGAAGGAGACTCCAGGAGGGAGAGAATCAGAAAAGAGGAACCAGGAGAGGGGAAGAGAAATTCTCTCCATTCTTAGAATCCACCGCACGTCTACCACTTCCTTCATCCTCCCTGGTCCTCTGGTCCCCACTGGAAAGTGTGCGTGTGTGGGGAGTTGGGGAGGGGGTGCGGGGGAGGGGAGCTTACTAAAGAGCCAATCACAAGCTGCCCCAGGCCACTCCATGTTGCAAACATTTTGCAAAGAAATCCTTATGCACACTTATATGTCTTCGAATACATAGCACAATAAAGCATGATAAATAAAAACACCTTCTGTACCCCTAAAATCAATCCACTGATGAAATCCCAGCCCTGCCAAGTGGAGCTGCTCTGCACACTGGTGCCGTTGGTCCTCACCTCTTGTCTAAGCCTCTAGCTCCTAACTATTCGATGGATTCTCCCCCTCCTCCCTCCCACCACCCCCGGTTTCTTCGCCCTTTACCAGCTCTCAGACCAACTGTACCACCTGTCTCTTTGGGAACACTGTGTCTGGTGACCCTCACTGTACACGTCAGGGATATCGGCATTATAAACGATCATGATAAAGAGATCTTGCCCACAATATTTATGAGATTCAAAAAGCCCCCAGTAAAGTAGACAGGAGTGATGGCCTGAAACTCTTGGGTTGATCATTCACTGCATTCAGGAGTGTCGATTCCCTCTGCTCTATAAATGAGCTAAAAGACAATGATATTCAAAACAGGAAACTAATTAATAAGTTCAAAGGGAGTATTGGCTTTGAAACTGAAATAAGTGGGAAACTCTCTGTTGAGACATCAGGTATCTGAGTGAAAACTCTATTCAAAGTGGGATTTATCATTTGGGTCCACATGGCTACCACCAGCCTCAAGCTGAGATGGTAAGCTGAGAACAAGCAATTAAAAGAAATTTAGAGAAGGGCATACCCAATCCAAACAACTCTCTAGAGATCCTACTTCTGATAAACGAAATCAGATTCACACCTATAGATGTCTTCAAGAAAAATCAGGAAGTCTAATGGAGAAGCTGTGATTTTACCCCTGGTTTCAAGTAAACCAAGATGAGGCTTGACTTTAAGTTCCTAAGAATTTAGGGGAAACAAAAAACAGAGTGCACCTGTCCAGAAATACATGGCATGTGAGATAAGAAATCAGCGTTAACAGGAACAGTGATGAATTCAGTAAGTGTAGGTTTCTTAACTAACCTAAAACAAAGCAGCCAAAGGACCCTTTCCTTCTCCTGTGTGAGCAAGCAGGTGTTCACCGCTAGCACCATTCGTTTTGAGCCTCAGAATCCTTCTGAACACAGTGCTTCCATGCAGTCAGGATCTATAAGTCAGTATTGACACAGAAATCTCACTGCTCATCCTCAGGCTAGTGGAGGCAAATTTCACTCATAGCCATTTCAGGTCTTGTGTGAGCTCCAAGGTTTCCCACAATCAGATTCCCCTCTTTCCTCTGGGCTGGACTCTGAGGTACTCTGCCAGCAATTCTACTCCTGATGATGAACCACAGAGAAATGCTTCTACAGGAGTACTGCTGGCAAATCAAAGCCTTCTCTCTTGGGTGAAGCGATCCAAAAACTAAACAGTTGATGTGAATAGAGTTGTTTTTTTTTTTAAAGCTGTTTTGGTAAACCACAAGCCAGTCTCCTACAGGGTACTTTAAACACTTCCTCTGATTTTTCTCCTGATGATTTCACCCTTCACTATCTACTCTCTGATCCCATTGCCTCCATTAGATAATGAGCACACTTTGCACAGTGCTAAGTGCACCATCTGCATACACACGTGGAGGCAAAGTCCAGGCTCCAGCAACTAATGATGTTAGCGACTCACCCCTGCTGATGACACAAGAGAAAAGAAGGGTCCTTCCTGCCCAAATACCTGAATTGAGCAGCTATCGATAATATTACAAAGCTACATGATAACAATATACATTGGCATTTTATATCACATGACTTCTAATAAACAACCGAAAAGCTGAAAATCACAAGCACATGATTATAGACGTTGAGCAAATCAGGTGTAATAAAGGGATACCTCTGCTTCCTGGAGTGTCGATGCATAAAATCTCAATGTATGTTCAGAAGGAGCTTTCTAAGGACACTGCAGCCTGACCCCGAGAGCATATTCAGACAGGGTATCAGTAGATTTCATGTTGAGTTTCCTTACTCAAAACCACCCTGCTGTCTCACGGCAAGCATTTAGTGCTCTTTGCTGTGTGTTTCCTTGCCATCATCTGGAGCTCTCTGAGCAATGCACACCCCAGTAGGACATTACCTGGGAGCTTTAGGATAAAGTAAGCAGCAGACACTCCAGCATGACACGTGAAAGGGTGACCATAATCTTCCATTTTCACTTCTAAGAAGGTTATGTTCACTGTGTAAAAAATATGTTCTGGAAAAACAGTGTAGTTTCTATAAAAGAAAAGAGTCCATCATTAATACATACAGGAGCTGTCTTTACCCAGCAGATTTTTATGAACTTTTGTCTGGAGAATAAAGTTCTTTCTTGGAGTACACTTGGAACCATTATTTTACCCTGAGAATACCCCACTGGCTCAATGAAGCAATGGATTATGTAACTCCAGATGTAATGTGCATTTTCTTTCAGACAGTGACATAAAAGTGTGCTCCCTCTCGTTAGACACACCGTCCACAGCCCAAAGGGGTCCTCCCCTATTCCTCTCCACCCATTCTAACTTATTTACACTGCAACATCCAACACACAATCATCTGTCCTCTGACCTCATTTGCCTTGTTTTCTGCCACTGAACTTAAACCATCATCAGTTGGGTTTGTACCACTCCATTAGCTAATGGTCATGCACCATCTCCCCCAAGAATCCCCGTGTCACTGTCCACTTCACTGTTTAAGCCTGGAAGACCCATGGCTCATGATATAACTAAATAGGAATGAGATTGATTATAAGGCCTAGCTGAGAAGAACTGACTGTGATGCTTGAAGCCATACCTGATTATTTTGCCTCCTTTCTCTAAGATGGAAGCAGCATTGGTAGCATGAGCATCTTTTTTAAAAATTATTTTTACTACTGGTTGAGTGATTGGCAGCGCTGAGGGACATGAGGGATCTTAGTTTCCTGACCAGGGATGGAACCCGTGCCCCCTTCAGTGGAAGCTTGGAGTCTAAACCACTGGACCACCAGCAAAGTCTCTGAGCATCTTCTCTGACCCAGATGCTTGGCTCTCTGAAACCACCAAAAGGAGCGAGGGAGAGGCTGTGAGAGTCACCGCACATGCAGTACCAGCACCAATGTCATTTAGATGGAGAAATTCTTGCTAGGTTTTAGAGGAGCCAGGAAAGCAAGACACCCACTCAATTCCTTCCTGAATGCGCTTGGAGTCCCCGTAGTAGTCATCCACCAGGGTATTGTTGACCCTCCAGCAGCGTGGGTTTGTGTTGTCCCGCGTGTCTGTTATGTTGCAGTTGACGATGAGCATGGAGCCTGTGCGAACAAGGTCAGAAACACTCAGTGAGATCCCAACCAAGGTGACCTGCTTCAAAAAGGCACCTTGCTTCTGAACCTTGAATAGCTGTCAATTACCAAAAACATCCTCCCTGAGGTCAACATCCGTCTACTTTATTCTCTCCCTGGACAGAGATGAGGACATGAGACCGTGCAGGATGCGCACTGCAGAGACAAGAATAAGCGGCCAAACATCACCAGGTTGGGGCTAGTGTTTGTCACAACATCAGGGACACAGACACTACTTCTGCTCTTAGCAAAGTTAGCAAAGAACATTAAAATTTAAAAAGTATTTCACACATTTTGGTCTTCATATCTAAAACACTCCTACAGAGCAGAAAAGGAGTAGTGCTATTATCCCCATCTTACAGATGAGAACATTGAGGTCCAGATAGATCAAGTGACTTGGTCACACATCAGAGGAAGGAGCGAGACACGAGCTCTGGTTTTCTAATTCCAAATCCAGTCAGATTAAGCACAGTCCATTTCATTTCTAATTTTAAAAGATTTTTATTTTTAAATAATGAATTCCTAGTTCAAGTTTTCTAAATGACTTTTCGGTATCTATGCAGTAAGTGTATCATTTTTTTTCTCCTTAAGCTTGTTTATGCAAAAGATGAATTATCTAATATTAAACAAGCTTGCATTGCTCCATGTAACCCCAGTTTTGCCCTTTACGTACGTAAAATAAGTTTACTAGCAGTTTGCTTTACATTTTTCATCTGTGTTTATGAATGATTTGGTCTGAAATTTTCCTTTGTAATAATGTCCTTGTTGGGTTTGGGTGTCAAGGTTTTCCTGACCTTATGAAATGAGATAAGGATTATTTCCTCTTTTTCTTTTCTCTTAAACAATTTGTTGAAAATTGGCGTTAATTCTTTATTAAATGTTTTTTAGAATTCACCAGGAAAGCCAAATAAACCCAGATTTCTGTTTGTGGGAAGATTTTAAATTAATTTATATGACTATCTTGCTCTTCCAAGGCTTATCTTTTCTCTCTTAATTATCTAAGCACAATGACTAGAATTTTCAAAGACAGGAGAGGGGAACAAAGTTAATTGAGAGTTAATAACAGGTATACTTACCTTGTGTAGGTGTTTATGAAATCCACAAGAGTATTCACATGGTGAGTGATTTCTAAACAAATATCCTAATTGTTATTATTATTATTGAACTTTCCTTGAAAATTCAAAAGAACTAAAGAACTCTCCTTAAAACATGTGGGTCTAGAGACTTTTAAGCAGATGGGCTTCCCTGGTAACTCAGATGGTAAAGAATGTGCCTGCAGTGCAAGAGACCTCAGTTTGACTCCTGGGTCAGGAAGATCCCCTGGAGAAGGGAATGGCAGTATTCTTGCCTGGAGAATCCCATGGACAGAGGAACCTGGTGGGCTATAGTCCATGGGGTCATAGTCAGATATGACTGAGAGCACACACACATTTGATTTCCTATTTTGCTTTATAAGCTTTCTCATCTCTATCTTTAATGTTTGAGTTTCTCTGAATTTGAGAGACTCAGTTTGCTGGAGCTTCCTCTCCCTTTTTTATTCTGCCCCATTCCTGCCCCAACACTTCGGCCCTTAGCAACTTCAGAAGCTCTGATAAGTTTACTCACCAGGTTTTACTTCAATTGAATTGTTTTTTGGATAAATGATCTGAGGGATTCTTCCTCCATTTCCCACTTTTTCTGCTAAAAAATCATAACCACATGAGATTGTGTTAGAAACATACTCAACTACTTGAATGCAATCATACCATAAAACATGGGACTGAGCAGACCCTCAATAAACATTGGTCAAGAAAAAACAAAACTCATGGTGCGACAAAATATCACTCCATAAATGAATATTCTTCAACCAGGTTATAACTGAATTGCTAAGGGAAAAATCTGAAGGCTGGGATACCAAGAGAAGTCATGTCACTGTTTTACATATATAAACATTTATAAACATAAATGGATGCGATTGTGTGAGAAATTCTCACTGCCGGGTCATCCAATATACTTCCTAAGCAGTGGCAATAAGTGAAGCTCTGACCTGAGTCCTAGACAGAGAGAAATAGTAACCCTAACGGTCTATCGCCAGTTCCATCCTTCCACTCTCCAAGTCTGCCCTTCTGGATTCTTCACGCCCTTCACCTCTTGCTGTCCTTCACCTTTTTCATCCCTCTCCCTCACGTTATAACTGTCCTCCTTGTGTTGACTCCCCAACCCTTTGACTTTCTCCATGTCTTCCCTTCTCCATTTGTCTACCAATATTTAGCAATTGGGCGTCCCAGGTGGCTCAGTGACAAAGAATTCACCTGCTGAGGCAGGGGATATGGGTTCGATCCCAGGTCCAGGAAAATCCCACACGCCGTGGAGCAACTAAGGCAGTGCGCCACGACTGCTGAGCCTGTGCTCTAGCGGCCGTAGCTACCAAAGCCTGCACGTCCTAGAGCCTGCGCTCCACAACTAGAGAAGCCACGGCAATGAGAAGCCTGCACACCACAACTAGAGAAGCCACGGCAATGAGAAGCCTGCACACCACAACTAGAGAGTGGTCCCACTCCCCACAGCTGGAGAAAAGCCCACGCAGCAACGAAGCCCCAGCACAGCCAACATTAAATAAGCGAAAAAATTACCCATCTCATTCGTGAATCATCTGATTCATCTCTGCCTCTTTTCCGCTCAGACTTCAGGACTCCATCAGAGCAGCGGTCATGGCTCTTCTCATCATCATGATCCCCCTGCCCAGCACAGGACCTGACCTTGATGACCTTATGGACCCCAGTAAAGGGTCCATACATGACTGTCTGAAAACCGTCTCCTCCCACTTGCAGACAAGTGCAGATGATCACACCCAGATGATGCTATGGCAGCTTCCTAAGTGGTCTCTAGATCTCAAGACCCTCTTCAACTCCTCCTCAAACCACCTCAGAATTGATTTCGTCCATCACGAGTGGAGCCTTGGGGCTCTGCGCTTGCATGCATTCAAGGACTCCTCAGTGGCAACTTGGTAAATCCACTGTATAATCGGCCCCCTTGACCTTGCCCCTCTTTAACTCCACAAGCTCAACTCCCATCACTTCTCAGCTCACAATTCTATACGCCCTAACAAGATCACTCTTAAAGCCAACATGAACTATGATGGTACACATTTCTATGCATTGTCTGAGGCTCTTATCTCTGCCTTTCCTCCCTCTTCTTTACTTCTGTAAATCCTGCTCATCCTTCAAACTTCAGTTGAGAAGATACATCCTCTTAGAAGCCTTCCAATACCATTTATTTATTTGCCACCCTTGCATCTACTTTTGATTTTTTCCTGCTCCCCCAGACCCTGTCTATAACTCTCTGTTTGCCACATAATGTTAAGACAATCCATTTATATCTCTAGCTCCACTATAACTGGGCTGATAGCTCCTCAGTAGAAGAAAGAATTTTTAAATTTTTCTTATTATCACATTTTAACAAGTTTTGGCACATAACAGATTACAAGTAAATGTTTATTGCAAAGATGTGACATATAGATGATTGGACTCAACGATTCCGTAAGGTATTCTTCATTTTGCCTTTGAAATTTCACCTTGTGAAGAATTCCCAATGTAAGACTAAAGCATAAGAGTAGTCAATCATTAAGTTCATCAACTATCTCTCTGAGTTTGCTCAAACTCATGTTCACTGAGTTGGTGATGCCATCCAACCATCTGATTCTCTGCTGCCCCCTTCTCCTCTTGCCTTCAATCTTTCCTAGCAACAGGGTCTTTTCTAATGAGTTGGTTCTTCGCATCAGGTGGCCAAAGTATTGGAGCTTCAGCATCAGGCCTTACAATGAATATTTAGGGTTAATTTCCTTAAGGATTGATTGGTTTGATCTTGTTGTCCAAGAGACTCTTAAGAGCCTTCTCCAGCACCACAGCTCGAAAGCATCAAATCTTTGGCACTCTGCCTTCTTTACAGTCCAGCTCTCACCTTTACTGAATATCTATACTTTTTCAGAAACCCCATGAGCTTCTCTATAGACACAATCTCATTTAATTTTTGTGCATAAACCAGGAGTTTTGAGTCTTCTATTTTTTCAGATGAGAAAATTAAACTGCTCATGCCCTTTTACCCCACTATTCCTAACCTCTGATCTGAATAAAGACATATTTGAGAGCCTGTTAATCCTCAAGAAAAGCAGGATGGGGAAACCCTTCTGCCCAAAACCACTCATCTTGAGCAAACCCAAGAGCAGTCAAGGTGAAGGGTAAGTGCATACTTACTGACAGTCACAGAGATGCTATTGAAAACAGTGTGCTGTTTCTTTACATGTGTAAGCCTGGCTTGACATTCATAGTTCCCTCTGTCCTCCAACGAGACATTCTTCACTAAAAGCTTTTTTCCCCGAGAAATAAACCGTTCTCCTTCTATCTCTATACAGTCCTAAGGAAAAAAAAAAAAACTCACTTTTTTTCAATTCAAAGAGTATCTTAGGGTATCAGTTATATTCCTAGTTAGCACCAGTCCATGAACCACAGAGAGACATGAAATCTATGTGATCTCTAGACCTTAGGTAATTTATAATCTAACTCAAGACATATATATTTATATAGTGAAGCAGCTCAGTCATGTCCGACTCTTTGTGACCCAACGGACTATAGCCCACCAGGCTCCTCCATCCATGGGATTTTCCAGGCAAGAGTACTGGAGTGGGTTGCCATTTCCTTCTCCAGGGGATCTTCCCAACCCAAGGATCAAATCTGGGTCTCGTGCTTGTAGGCAGGCAGACACTTTATTGTCTGAGCCGCCAGAGAAGCATATATTTATATAAGATACATACATATTATCTCCTGAAGAAGGAAATGGCAACCCACTCCAGTATCCTTGCCTAAAAAATTCCATGGACAGAGGAGCCTGGTGGGTTACAGTCCATGAGGTCACAGTCAGCCATGACTGAGCACATCAGTATATATATAAATATATAATATATATCCCCAGAAAATTTGACAAAGAGTACTCTACAGGCTAGAGTGAATGCTATAAATATGAGTTGAGAGAAGAGAAGCCTGTGTAGACAGGAAGGAAGACTTCATGGGGAAGGATTACACCTGCTCCATAAAGGAGTTTGGTAGGAGGATATGGTCAAGCAAGAATGTCCTCCACCCACAAGAGCCCAAGTCCCTCAAAGCACTGCCATTCAATGGCACCAGGTAAGGCTGCAAGCCCAGGTGAATAAGGAATGCCCCCTCATTCTATCCATTCTACCTCACACGCTGTCTTGATGATCCCCACCTCCTAACTCAATTTCTCAAATAGCCTAAAGATCAGTGTGGCACCGTACTAAAGTCCTTCTGATTGATTCACCAAGTGAGGACTTGACTGAAAAAACAGGTGTCAACAAATGAATGGATAAAGGAGATCTGAGGTATATATCTGCAACTATCTATCTATATTTCAATATTATTCAGTCATAAAAAAGAATGAAATAATGCCATCTGAAGCAACATGGATGGACTTAGAGATTATCATACTGAATGAAGTAAGTCAGACAGAGAAAGACAAATATCATATGATATGACTATATATGGAATCTAAAACATGATACAACTACTTATTTACAAAAACAGACTCAAGACATATGGTTGTCAAAGGAAGGGATGCAGGAATAAATTAGTAGTTTGGGAGTAGCAAATATAAACTACCATATATAAAACAAAAAACAAAGACCTACTATACAGCATTGGGAACTATAGCCAACATTTTTTAAGAAACAATAACAGAAAAGAAAAATAAAAAAGGAAGGGAAACGGACATTCATTGCCACATTCCTGTGAGAGAAGAAAACAGAAACAAACTAAATGAATGTGAAATATATAACAAAGAAGATCAACAAAGGCGAAGATTGGTTCTTTGAAAGGAGTAACAGAACTGACAAATATCTTATGAGACTAATTGAGTGAGAGAGAGATAGAGAGTGTGTGTGTGAGACAGACAGAGATACAGAGAAACACACTGTAGTAGGGATTAAAGGTAAAGCTTACTATAGAAGGAGACATTAAAAGCAGATCATTGAAATTGTTTAGCAATTTCATGCCAGATCATCTGTAACATTTAATGAGAAGAACAATTTCCTAGAAAACAAAATCTTACCAAAACCCATTCAAGAATAAGCAAGAAATTTGTATAATTCTATGACTGTTAAATAAATTGAGTCAGTAGATGAAAACATTCCCACAAGGAGGACTTATGACCCAGATGGTTGTACTGGCAAGTGCTAACAGGCAAAGCTGGGGGAAAACTAATTCAAATATTAAATACCATACTAGCTTGTGCTCCTGCTTGCCAAGGATTATGCCTTATACATTATTATCTACTGATACAGTCAAGAAAGCAGAAAATTTGAAGGTAAAAACACAAGGTGTAGAAGGGTGAGTATATGATGCCCCATTTCCATAAAAAAGGAAGGACCAAGACATAGGGCGAGCTTCTCCAAAAGGGCTTATGCCAGCATGCTGAGCCTCTCAGGACGGCTGCTATCAGTATGCTTGTACAGAATTACACAAGGATGATGCAAAGCCTGCAAGGAACTAATGATAGCAGCCAATGGGCCCAGGAAATACGGATCAGAACTACTGAGCCCACACACCCCAGAGTCCGTGCTCTGCAACAAGAGAAGCCACCGCAATGAGAAGCCTGAGGACCACAGTGGGAATGTATCCCCCTGTAGCCACAACTAGAGAAAAGCCTACGAAGCAGCAAAGACACAGTACAGCCAACAAATAAAGTTTTTTTTTTTAAAAAGGTAACTTTAACTAAAAAAAACAAAAACAAAAAATGAGATTTTAAAGAACAGGAAGGAAAATATCATTAGGAATTTTTTTTTTTTTTACCTTATACCACTTTACTGAATCCAAATAAAAACTGTTTGGGAAGTTGAGATGACATATAAGGATGTCATCTCTTCCAACCTGCAGGATCTGCTTGTACTCGTGAGGCATGTTTAGTTGACTGTTTCCGGAAGCACCACACCAATGTTTTTCAAACACAGTAAGGTTGACTTGCATTCTGGGACAGATGTCCGTATCACTATAAGAAAACAACAGATTGTAACTTCAGGAACTCAAATAGTCACAGAACCAAATGATTCTGTCCATCTCCAAAAATTTCCCAATCCTTTTCCATGCTCTGTGCCCAACCCTTTACCTCAATAAGACAACATCCATCTCACAAGTCATTCATTACAAAAGGAAAAAAAAAGTATTTGGATTGTGGAAACATGGGAGGACATCTTATCCAAATAATCAAAATGAACATCCCCAAGAACAAGCATGTGAACGAGGTACTGTCTGAAAAGAACGCAAACCACTTCCAGAGCGTTCCAGCCAAGGAGGCTCAGCCTGAACCGACTGAGGAAGAAATATCTGGCAAACCCAAATTAAGAGATACAATACAAAATAATTGCCCATACGCCTTAAGAATGTCAGTGTCACACACGCACACGCACACACACACACACAACAGGCTGAAGATCTGTTCTCAATGGAAAGAGACTAAAAATAAACCAGTCCATTCTATTCATCTGAGTCTCTATTGCTGCTAAGTTGCTGCTAAGTTGCTTCAGTCGAGTCCAACTCTGTGCGACCCCATAGACAGCAGCCCACCAGGCTTCCCCGTCCCTGGGATTCTCCAGGCAAGAACACTGGAATGGGTTGCCATTTCCTTCTCCAATGCATGAAAGTGAAAAGTGAAAGCGAAGTCGTTCAGTCGTGTTTGACTCTTTGCGACCCCATGGACTGCAGCCTACCAGGCTCCTCCGTCCATAGGATTTTCCAGGCAAGAGTACTGGAGTGGGGTGCCATTGCCTTCTCTATGAGTCTCTATTCCTGCCCCACAAATAGTCTCCTGCCCCACAAATAGTTTGATCTGTACCATTTTTCTAGATTCCATATGCAGGCATTAATATACAATATTCATTTTTCTTTTCTGACTTCACTTCTGGACATAGGGGAGGAGAGGGTGGGATGAATTGAAAGAGTAACAGTGACATATTCACACTACCATGTGTAAAATAGCTAGCATGAAGCAGCTCTATAATACCAGGAGCTCAACTCAGGGCTCTGTGATGATCAAGAGGGGTGGGATGTGGGCTTGTGGGAGCGAGGCTCAGCAGGGAGGGGACACATGCATACTTATTGCTGATTCACACTGTTGACAGTGTGAAACCAACACAATGTGTGTGCGTGCTCAGTTGCTTCAGTCATATCTGACTCCTTGCGAGCCCGTGGACTGTAGCCTGCCAAGCTCCTCTGTCCATGGGATTCTACAGGCAAAAATACTGGAGTGGGTTGCCATGCTCTCCTCTTGGGGATTTTCCCCACCCGGGGATCGAACCCGTGTCTGCCTGTGTCGTCTCCTGCATTGTGGGTGGCTTCTTTACCCACTGAGCCAGCAGGGAAGACCATCAACACAACACTGTAAACCAGTTATCCTCCAATTTAAAAAAAAAAAGAGAGCTAAATGCAATGCAATGATCCTGAATTGGATCCTCTACAGGAAAAGGAAGAAAAACATTTATAAAAGTCATCCTTAGAAGATAGATAAAACTAGAATATGAAACAGGGAGTAGATAAAAGTATTGTGTTGGTTAAATTTCCTGAATGGGATAACTACTTGGTGATGATGTAAGAGAATATTCTTGTTGAGAGAAAATAGATATTGAAATGAGAGAAATACATCAGGGTCCCTGATGTCTCTGAAGGTAAAGATTCTGCCTGAAATGCAGGAGACCAGGATTTGATCCCCAGGTCAGGAAGATCCCCTAGAAAAGGGAATGGGTGAACCCACTCCAGTATTCTTGCCAGAGGAACCTGACAGGTTACAGTCCATGGGGTCACAAAGAGTCAGACACGACTGAGCAAGCAAAACTTTCACTTTTCATATGTATATGTATACCTGAATCACTTTGCTCTGCACCTGAAACCAATGCAACACTGTGAATCACTTATCCTCCAACAAAAATAAAGAAAACTAAAGCCCTAGTTAGAGCAGAAAATGAATAAATCCAGACTGGACAGTCAGACAGATTCATGTGACATAAGATCTCCAATTCCAGTTAATTAATAACCTAAGGAAATGGGAAATCAGACCCTATAAGACAGGGGGAGCTGGTCTGCAGAGAGTGAAATCATGGGGCTGGGGCCACGGGCACTTGCAGGTGGGCCACTGAGCGACAGCGTACCCTGAGTCAGTCACACGGAAATGAGGAGTCTGGCAGGGACTAGAGAGGCATGCAGTCATCTGGAAACACAGACAGGGGCCTAGAGACCCTAGGTGCCATGAGAGAGGAAGGATGCAGCTGCATTTCTGGGGTACTTCACATGGGACCTGGGGTAATTTTCACTTCAATCCTATCTGACTGGCCTGATTTCCACTTTACAGATAAGAAAGCCAAGGCTCATGGAGGTCAAATAATTCATGCAGGTCATACCCGTTGGCAAAGGAGGATAACAAAATGGGACCCTCAGCCAAAATTAGGTCCACAGATGTGTTTTAATTAGGACACACACACAAAGCTTATTGGAAAGTTAACAGCATACACACTCATTCTAATTTCCAGGTTACCTTGACAATTTGGAGGATGTCCTTGAACTGAATGAGTGTGTGTGTGTGTTGCTCAGTTGTGTCTGACTCTTTGCAACCCTAAGGACTATAGCCTGCCAGGCTCCTCTGTCATGGGATTCTCCAGGCAAGAATACCGGAGTGGGTTGCCATTCCCTTCTGCAAGGGATCTTCCCAATGCAGGGATCAGACCCAGGTCTCCTGCATTGCAAGTGGATTCCTTACTGCCTGTGCCACCACTGAACTGAATAGATTACTGATTTTGGTGAGGCATATGTTTTTCTGTTCACCGCAGTCCCCGCCAGACTCAATTACCTCCCACCAGCCCTGTGTCACTCACTCACATTACTTTCTAGCACAAGCCTTACCTTGAGGTCTGGAACACACCTGATGCTTGGACACTGTTAAATTCCCACAACAGACTCCTTACAAAAAAGGGCTTGAAGGAGGCATATACCTATCTGGATGAGCTGCTGGTCACAAAAACTTTTATTTCAAGAAAGAAGGCAGCAATCATATTGGGATAAGAAGGCTTTGTAAGCTGGGCTGACCTTGGGCAGCATTTCAATGAGAAAAGATGCATTTCCTGTTTCAACAGCTGATTTACAAATCTCTTCTGTTTGAATGCCTGTTCATTGAAACCATCTCCTAACAATCACAAAAACTATATTCTTCTCATTGAGTTTTCTACATTGATTAACAGTTTATCAAGAATTTTTCTAAAAGAATTATACCCATATGTATATACACATATATACACATGGGGTTCCCCGATGGCTCAGTGGTAAGGAATCTGTCTGCCAATGCAGGAGACTTGGGTTCAATCCCTGGGTCAGGAAGATCTCCTAGAGAAGGAGATGGCTACCCACTGCAGTATTCTTGCCTAGGAAATCTCATCGACAGAGGAGTCTTGTGGGCTACAGTTCATGGAGTTGCAAAAGAGTCATACAAAGCTAAGCAACTATACAACAACAGCATATATACACATATATATATGAGTAAGAGAGAGTTCTATTCTGAATGAGGAACTTACTTTGTAAGACACTGGTAGATCCCAGAGTCCTCCCCTTTCACGGGGAGAAACAAAATCCAATTTTGGTCCTGGTGAATTCTAGACTGTGTGTTTTTGGATATTGGGATTTTGCTAGGATATTTATACCACATTGCATCTACTTTCCCCGATGTTGGCAGAGAGTAGATGCAATTAAAAGCTGTAGGCTGGTCTACTGATGCCGTCTCTTGCAGAGTCAAGTCCTCACAAGCATCTAGGGAAGGAAAGGGAAAAAATAATCAAAACTGAGAGTGCTGGTGTTGGTTATTATTTGTTTGAAAAAACACCTTAATTTTCTTGCTGATTTGAAATTTTATTTAAAAGTTATCTCAGCATGAGAGTTTCCTAAAAACAGTCTACTGATGTGGAAGTATAACCCAAACTCCTTCCATCTGTCTCTAAGAGAGAATTTACTGAGTCCAATCCTTCCCCCATCCCCAAATCATCCTTCCCATTTGGAATGATTTTCTCTTTCCCTTCTATTCCCCTGTGGCTCAGCTGGTAAAGAATCTGCCTGCAATGCGGGAGACCTGGGTTCAATCCCTGGGTTGGGAGGATCCCCTGGAGAAGGGAAAGGCTACCCATCCCAGTATTCTGGCCTGGAGAAGTCCATGGACTGTATAGTTCATGGGGTCACAAAGAGCAGGACACGACTGAGCAAATTTCACTTTCTTCACACTTTCTTCTCTTCTAAGACCCTAGTTCCTTCATCCTCCTCCTTCAGAGAAGACATTCCTATTCTGAGCCCCATTTGAGCTGTTTTACTTCAGCACTGCCTTCCAATTAATTCAATCTGTCCCAAATAAAACCTGTAAGTATTTTGTCCCACAAAGGATTGTTGAACAGTTCCCTCACATTAAAGTTCGTTTCTAACACATTGCTTAGTTTTTCTTAAAAGTAATTTGTTCCATTGCTACTTTCTTTGCTTTTTACTTGGTCTAAAACGTCCCTTTGACATATAAAACAGAGGCATCATAATCCCTTTGTGCGTTTTAACTCGAGTCTTGACTTGCTACTTTGCCCAACTCCTCCCCGCTTCAAGTCACTTCAAAGCTCACAGGTGACATTCCGCGCAGGGCATCAGACCCTTGGAGCTGAAACCTGCAGTTTCCCCGTCCCGCGGGATTCTGCCCGGACCACTGGGGCGAAAGTCACCACACGCGATGCTCCAGGTTCGCGCGGGGGCTCGCACAGAGCGGCGGGAGGTCGGGAGGGAGGACAGCCGCGGAGACCCGAACTAACCGAACGTACCTGCTCTGATAAAGCGCGGAAGAGCGATGGACACGACGCAGAGGAGCAAGGACAGCATTCCCCTGTCAGCTGCGAGAAAGAAAGAGGATGGCGTGGGAAGGGGCGCAGCGGGCACGGCGCGTGCTTCTCTGACACAGAGCCTGGGTAGTGAGACCTCTGAATCTCAGAGATCCCAGCCGGGCCACCCACCTTCCCTTCTTCACCCGGAGCCCACCAACTTTGGCCCCACGTGTACCCGGACGTGTCCCCCAAGACTGCTCCCTCCCCTGCCCCGGTCTCGCTCTGAGCGCCCACCTCCGGAATCCGGCATCAGTGGGAGCCTCCACGCCCCGGGAGGCGCCGTGGGGGCCTCGGAGCGGGTCCTTTCTTCCAGGCTGCCCAGTCCTCCCTTGGGGGCTCAGCGACATCCCCTCTGTCACCCAGCCCTCGGCCCCTGATCCCCATGGTGGCGCCCGGGTCCCCACCCGCGTGTAGCGCGAAGACTCCCCTGCGGGCGCTTGACCTCGGGATCCTTCTGGGCCCGGCAGTCTACACGGAAACTCCAAACACCCACGCACTCCGGAGAAGCCAGCTTAGGCCTGCTTGGCAAAGGCCAGCAGGAACAAAGGTAGGTAGACGCACGGGCAGTGGACCGGTGCTCCACACCTTTGTCCAGAGACGGAGTTGTCTCCCCCAGGGTCGCCCAGCCGGACAGGGGCCGCCCGGGAGTGCAGATCGCCGCCCCCCGCCCCAGTCGAGCGCATTTTCGCCACCGCCTTCCCTGAGCACCTTTCCAGTGCCTGGCGCCCCGCCCGCGCGCTGCTCACCGCCGACCTCAGCTGGGTGTGTACCTGCCGGACTGGATGGGCGCGCAGGATCGCATAGAAAGTGCAGCCCGACAGCCCGGGATTGAGCCCCGTGGTGGCATTTCCATACCAGGCTCGTTCCTCACCACCGTGGGCGGTGCAGGTCTGCCTTCCCAGTGGGAACTTAAGGAGGAAACTGCCATCGCACTAGGAAGTGGCTTTGAAGGGTTTTGGCCAGATTGTCTGGCAGCTAAGACGTCCTCCATACCCAGTAGTGTTAGTCTCTCAGTCCGTGTCTGACTCTCTGTGACCCCATGGACTGTAGCCCACCAGGTTCCTCTGTCCATGGGATTCTCCAGGCAAGAACACTGGAGTGGGTAGCCATTCTCTTCTCCAGGGGATCTTCCTGACCCAGGGACCAAACCCAGGTCTCCAGCATTACAGGTGGATTCTTCACCGTCTGAGACTTCAGGGAGGAATCCCCATCCCCAGTAATGTCTGCTGAAATCTACTCTAAATTATCCCAGCAAATGAACTATTCCTTCCTTTCCGAGCTCCATTTGAGCAATTGTTACATGCATTGGCCTGTATAGGATGCTCCCAAAGTGGAAGCCAACTCAGATGGCTTTTAAGGAGTATCATTTATTAATATCTGCCTGAGTCATGTTGGTTAACTTCTGTAAAGCAGACATCCCACTGTTGCCTAGTTCAAGCTTATCTGATAGGTGCAGGACAGATGAATGAATCTGAGACACAAGGTGTTGAGACAAGGAATATGACTTTATTTGGAAAGCTGACTGGCTGAGAAAATGGCAGACTAATGTCTTGAAATAATCATCTTGTTCGGGGTCTGGATGCCAGGTTCTTTTATGACTCAGAAATGGGCAGGGGAGGTCAGGAAACAAAGTAAAAAGAACATTGATCTTGCATATACCTCCTAGAATGACCTGCCTCAGGCGGGGTGGGGGGAGGTGTGTGTTTATTTCTTCCTTCCTGCCATCTATAGGTGGACAGAATTCTGAACAAAGGCACTTTAACAGTTAGGGAGATGGGCAGGGGAAGAGCCAACTCATTGGAAAAGATCTTGATGCTAGGAAAGGTTGAGGGCAGAAGGAAAACTGGGCAACAGAGGACAAAATGGTTGGATGGCATCATCGACTCAATGGACATGAGTTTGAGCAAACTCTTTGAGGCAGTGAAGGATGGGGAAGCCTGGTGTGCTGCAGTCCATGGGATCACAAACAGTCAGAAGCGACTTATCCAGGGAACAACAAAGAGAGGTAGAAATCTCTGGGGCAGTCCATTATGTGTTATTATAATAATAAAAGCAATGGAAAACAAGTCAAAGAAACAGTTCCAAGGTGGAGACAGAATTGGCTTTTCCCTGCAACACCTCCGGAATTCTAGATACCCCAAGCAAGTAGACTGCTCCAGTCTGAAACTTCTAACTCTGATGATATGAGGATGAGATGGTTAGATAGCATCATCGACTCAATGGACATGAGTTTGAGCAAACTCCAAGAGATAGTGAAGGAGAGAAGTGCCTGCTGTGCTGCAGTCCATGGAGTTGCAAAGAGTCAGATACAACTTAGCGACTGAACAACAACAAATAATGATATCCACAGAACAAATCATGATATCCACAGGGACTTGTTGCCCTGATCATCAGGAGATACTCAGACACATCCCTGAGGGCTCTGAGACTTAGAAAAAGTATATAAAATGTAATCTCCTTTCAGAACTGGCCAAACCAGTTCTGGTGGTCCTTTTGGCATTCCAGGGAGACAGATGCCAAAGTAGCAAGGGGAGATGCCAGCAAAGCTTTCTGTGATAAACTGGGAGCCAGCAGTTTACAAATGTCTACATTCTTTAAAAATGATTGAGGATTCCAAAGTGCTTTTGTTTATGTCCATTATGTCTGTCGATATTTACTATGTTAGAAATTAAGATGGCGAGTGTTTTAAATATTTATTTTCTTGTTTATTTTATTGCTAAAGATTTCATGTGGACCATTTTTTAAAAGCCTATTGAACCTGTTATAATATTGTTTCTGTTTTATTTTTTGTTATTTTGACTGCAAGGCACCTGGGATACCAGCCCCTACCCCACCCCATCCCCGCCGCAACCTAACTTGTGCCTAACTTGTGCCTCCCTGACTTGGAAGGAGAAGTGTCCCTTCTTATTTTAAATAATAACAATAAACTCTCCATGTATTAATGCATATTTTCCATATTTTATGGAAAATAACTTTACTTTCCAAAACAAACAGACTTATTGAGAACAGTGGTATTCTACATAACACTACATACCCATACTTAGAGTTTAGAAACATCTAACTTAAGAGAGTTGAATTCTCATAGCCAGTCTCTTATGATGTGACATGTCATATAGCCTCTGAGAAAGTCCACTGTCCACAAGTCAGAGAACAAGTATAAAAAGACAAAGAAAGTCTTAATATTACAATGCAAATGACTTTGACTTCTGAGATCTTTTTAAAGGCTCTTGGGGATGCCCTAGGGCTCTCTACTCTGAGATCCCCTAGGTAAGCCAGAAGTGGAGATTTTTATTACTTTTCCCCTGGCATCAGCATTGAGTTTCCTCTGTATTAAGAGCAAAGAGTCGGACACAACTTAGTGACTAAATAACAACAACAGCATGTTATCATTTTAAGCAGCTGACACCAAGATTATATTCCCTCCTCTCCCCTCACTCTCCCAAACCTCAGAATTTGAAAAAGATTCATTCTTGATTAAATAACTTTGTTCTTTCATTTGTACAGATCAAGACATATAATTAAAAACATATATTTTGAGATTCCATCTCAGATACTGACAAAAACTTTCTGTAGTAGGGAAAACCTTTGAATTCTGTTACAAGTTAATCACTAAAGGGATGTTGCCTGTAAGCTTTAATTCGACATAATGGTCCATCTCTGAGAACCCTGGCTCCCAGATAATGATCATTAAGCCAAAAAGACTGCTGATTAGCTCCCAGGAGAGAGACAGATGAGGTTCACCTGTGACTGGCTGCAGAGAGGAAGAAATTCACAGGTCCCCTCCAGAGGCTGAGGTGAACCAGGAAGTGTTTGACTTATTTCCGCCCTCATCATATTTTTGGTCTGCTGGCTTTCTCAATAAAGTCCTTATTCCTTGACCCAGCAACTCACCTCTGGACTTACTGGTCTATTATGTGGCGAGGAGTATAAAGTTAGACTTGGTAGCAAGTTTTGATGAAACCTGCCAGGAGCCTTGCGGCTCATGCCAGCCGGCCCTGGTTGGGGAATATTCGGGAAAGGCACTGGTGGTTGCCAGGACCACTTGGCCAAGGAGCTTCCCTTCAGATTTCTGGCTGCCTCAGCACCAGGCAACTAAAACAAGGAATCAACATTTAGGAGCTGAGGTGCTGCCCCATAGATAAGATAGTCCCTCTGGTGTGTACAGCCAGAAACTTTATTTCCTCTTATTCGGGGCTTTTTTGTTTTTTCTTCTGTGGAATATGCCAGTTTGTTTTGTGTTTGTTTTGTGAGTGGGGCACCCTGTTAGAGGAAAGAATTGCTAGGGTTTTTTTTTTTTAACCCAATTTTTATGTCTATCCAGCCCCAATTCCTGATGTGCTTAGGACTACGCCTCCCTTTTAATCATTATTTATTTGGCTGTACTGTGTCTTTGTTGCATCAAGGGCTTTCTCTAGCGGTGAGCAGGGGCTACCCTCTAGTCCTGGTGGGCAGGCTTCTCCTTGCAGCTTCTCCTGTTGCGGAGCACGGGCACTAGGGTACACAGGCTTCAGTAATTATGAAGAAGGAAAGGAGAAGTTTGCCCTGACTGGAGTGACTCCATCTTATGCTCTCGGTGAACTTTGGACTATATATCTGGGAGGCCACGGAGATAAAATAGCAACAACCAGTAAGCCTCCTGGGCACCTGGAAACCAGACCAGGCTGACCCTATCCTGAGACCTCCCAGAGCCAAAAGGAATGCAACGAGCACTATGTAATCAATTACTATCTGTAATCTTAATAATACCCATTGATGTAAGTTAGACTGCATGGCCGAGAATGTAAATTTATGTCTGTTACCTGATTGTATCTTGTACTAACATTGACCAGACTGGGCTTTAGAGAATTTGGGGGTTGTGGGCTTGGGCATGTATGCTTTAGGTATGAAAGGTTATCACAAAAATCAGTTGGGGTCCCTGACTAAATAGAAAACTCTGCCTTGGACCCACCGGTGTAATAAACTGCACTCCACTATCCACACTGTCCTTCTGAGTGAGTTTGCTTCCTGAGGCATTTGACTGTAAAAGTTGTGGCTCTCAGGCTCTAGAGAACAGGCTCAGTCATTGTCCTGCATGGGCTTAGTTGTGCCATGTCATGTGGAATCTTCCAGGACCAGGGATCGAACCTGTGTCTCCTGCATTGGTAGGTGGATTCTGAACCCACTGAGCCAGCAGGGAAGCCCAGGACAGACTTAAGAACGCTTTAATACATTTTTGAGGTTGGCAATTTAATATACAATAAAAATGATAGATGCAGTTGTGAGTTTGTCTATAAAAACATCTACATATGA